CTGCTGCAGGAGCCATATTAGACTATGGTCAGCGTAAGATGTCTATGAGATCAGGAAGTTCTAGAGAGGCTCAGGTACGTGTTGGAGGCACATACAAAAGCACATCGAGGAGAGTGGCTCTGGATTTAGCAGGTAGTCATCCATCCAGAGGGAAGAGATGTAGCCAGCGAGGGAAACTGAGTGAATTTCCTGGAAGCCTGAGAGATGTTGGACAGAATGGTCCAGGTACGTCCAGTACTCGTCCCATTAAGGTCCCACTAGCAAGAGTCTATAGGTCGCAATACTCAGGACCCCGACAGAGATGTGACACAGATTATGATTGGAGGAATCATTGTTGATTGCCTCCCATGAACACTTATTCGGAAGCACAGCCTTGAGTAATATTAAGTATGTCGAGGCAATTAGCATGAGAATAATTTTGTGATGAGTATGAATTGCAGTTAGCTGCAAGTTGAAACTTGTGAAGATAATTTTGTACATAGTAGTTAGATTTTTATCGTTAAGGTTTGAGATAAACCAGAGTTTAATGTGTTTGTTAGATAACTCTCATCGCATCTCGAAAATGACTGATAGATAACCCCGGGGTTAAGCAAACCAGATAAGTTATAAGTGTAAGAAATAGCTAGTTAGGAAAAATTCGTTATTTTTTTTATAACTTAGGCTTGGTGTTGTTAACACCAAAATCATTGGTTGGGAGGAGTGTAACGAATTTTTCAATTTTTCAAAATTTTATTTTTGGAGTCCAGTGCCGTTTTTTAGCACTTTAGACAGTTTTGACAGTAGGAAAGTGTTTTCCAGTCACAGTTGACAGCTTATATAGTTATATTTATGAATAGAACACTTTAGGTGTACTGGGAATAGTGTAAACTACTCTTTTCTGGGAGATTTATTTTGCTTTCGTTTGTGTGCATTTTCTCACCTCCTATTAGAGAGCTCTGTTGACCTACATTCAATAACTCGTTTTTCCTTGCAATTTCGCCATAATTAGAGCCAATGATGATTGGTTTTTGTTATATTTATCTAGTTTATATCTTAATCTAGCTAGTTAATTGCAAGATATATGTTTGTTCTGTGTTAAAAACCAGAGATCGTGATTGTTAGGTGAAGCTAATTTTTTGCAAAAGTTATGTCATCATTGCATCATATTAATTAATTATGCACTAGTGATATCCTGGCTGGGATTCCAGTGACTGGCCAGGTATTGCATCAGCCGCTCGTGAGCTATGATTGGTTAGGCAGATAGTTTCGTGTGCAAAACACATGTTACATACATGTTGGGGTATAAATACGGTGGCGGACGTGACTCGGGGGCTTTCTGCGCATTGACTTTTGACGAACGGGACTATGTGGCTCGGGTTTATGGAATCTTTGGAACTATGAAACTTTGTCGTTTTTGCTAACTGCAAAACTTAGACGATTCTTGGAACTACAAAACTTAGGAAGTTTTCTGCTAACTGAAGGATGGCATGGGATGATTGACTTGCCTAATTGAACTTCATTAGCCTGAGGTAGTAACCATAGATGATTATAAGCCACTGGTGTTGGATTCTAGGTGAATTAAATGGCTTATTGAGGGAAGTTATTGAACTACAAAACTTAGGAAGTTTTCTGGAACTACAAAACTTAGGAAGTTTTTCGCTGACTATTAGCCCGATAGTCCTAGATGATTATAAGCCACTGATGTTGGAGCAGATAGCATATTGACTTTTGACGAACGGGACTATGTGGCTCTGATTTACGGGATTTTTGGAACTACAAAACTTAGGCAGTTTTCTGGAACTATAAAACTTTGTCATTTTTGCTATCTGCAAAACTTAGTCGTTTTTCTGCTATCTGAAGAACATAGTCGATCTGCTACATGGGATGACTGACCATTGACTATTGACTATTGACTTCTCTTAGCCTGATGAAGTAGCCATTGATGATTATAAGCCATTGATGTGACAACCTAGATGAAAATATTGGCTTACTAGAGGAATTGTTTGAACTACAAAACTTTGTCATTTTTGCTATCTACAAAACTTAGAAGTTTTCTGCTATCTGAAGAACATAGTCGATCTGCTACATGGGATGACTGACCATTGACTATTGACTTCTCTTAGCCTGATGAAGTAGCAACTGATGATTATAAGCCATTGCTGTGAAAACCTGGATGAATTTATTGGCTTATTAGAGGAATTTTTGGAACTACAAAACTTAGTCGTTTTTGCTAACTGCAAAACTTAGCTGATATTTTGGATCTACAAAACTTAGAAGTTTTCTGCTATCTGAAGAACTTAGTCGATTTGCTACATGGGATGACTGACCATTGACTATTGACTTCTCTTAGCCTGATGAAGTAGCCATTGATGATTATAAGCCATTGATGTGACAACCTGGATGAATTTATTGGCTTATTAGAGGAATTTTTGGAACTACAAAACTTAGTCGTTTTTGCTAACTGCAAAACTTAGCTGATATTTTGGATCTACAAAACTTAGAAGTTTTCTGCTATCTGAAGAACATAGTCGATCTGCTACATGGGATGACTGACCATTGACTATTGACTATTGACTTCTCTTAGCCTGATGAAGTAGCAACTGATGATTATAAGCCATTGCTGTGAAAACCTGGATGAATTTATTGGCTTATTAGAGGAATTTTCTGGAACTACAAAACTTAGGAAGTTTTTCGCTGACTATTAGCCCGATAGTCCTAGATGATTATAAGCCACTGATGTTGGAGCAGATAGCATATTGACTTTTGACGAACGGGACTATGTGGCTCTGATTTACGGGATTTTTGGAACTACAAAACTTAGGCAGTTTTCTGGAACTATAAAACTTTGTCATTTTTGCTATCTGCAAAACTTAGTCGTTTTTCTGCTATCTGAAGAACATAGTCGATCTGCTACATGGGATGACTGACCATTGACTATTGACTATTGACTTCTCTTAGCCTGATGAAGTAGCCATTGATGATTATAAGCCATTGATGTGACAACCTAGATGAAAATATTGGCTTACTAGAGGAATTGTTTGAACTACAAAACTTTGTCATTTTTGCTATCTACAAAACTTAGAAGTTTTCTGCTATCTGAAGAACATAGTCGATCTGCTACATGGGATGACTGACCATTGACTATTGACTTCTCTTAGCCTGATGAAGTAGCAACTGATGATTATAAGCCATTGCTGTGAAAACCTGGATGAATTTATTGGCTTATTAGAGGAATTTTTGGAACTACAAAACTTAGTCGTTTTTGCTAACTGCAAAACTTAGCTGATATTTTGGATCTACAAAACTTAGAAGTTTTCTGCTATCTGAAGAACTTAGTCGATTTGCTACATGGGATGACTGACCATTGACTATTGACTTCTCTTAGCCTGATGAAGTAGCCATTGATGATTATAAGCCATTGATGTGACAACCTGGATGAATTTATTGGCTTATTAGAGGAATTTTTGGAACTACAAAACTTAGTCGTTTTTGCTAACTGCAAAACTTAGCTGATATTTTGGATCTACAAAACTTAGAAGTTTTCTGCTATCTGAAGAACATAGTCGATCTGCTACATGGGATGACTGACCATTGACTATTGACTATTGACTTCTCTTAGCCTGATGAAGTAGCAACTGATGATTATAAGCCATTGCTGTGAAAACCTGGATGAATTTATTGGCTTATTAGAGGAATTTTTGGAACTACAAAACTTAGTCATTTTTGCTAACTGCAAAACTTAGCTGATATTTTGGATCTACAAAACTTAGAAGTTTTCTGCTATCTGAAGAACATAGTCGATCTGCTACATGGGATGACTGACCATTGACTATTGACTATTGACTTCTCTTAGCCTGATGAAGTAGCCATTGATGATTATAAGCCATTGATGTGACAACCTGGATGAATTTATTGGCTTATTAGAGGAATTTTTGGAACTACAAAACTTAGTCGTTTTTGCTAACTGCAAAACTTAGCTGATATTTTGGATCTACAAAACTTAGAAGTTTTCTGCTATCTGAAGAACTAAGTCGATTTGCTGCGTGGGAATCTACAGGACTGGACAGCACTTCAAGAGGGTGAAGCTATCCCCAGCATAGAGCTTACAGACGTGGTGTCCAGCCTTCATAGACCTAATTCATGGAATTGGATGTTCCTTTCTTCGCCTTAGTCCTAGTCAGTGTTTTATTCATAGTGACCTGTTTGATCGCGATTATATGCATCCGTGTGTGTATGAGGACTGAAGGGGACTCTACTAACCAGGAACCTCAAGTAACCCTTGCACCCAGGCCAGCATTACAGTCATCATTGGGATTCAGTTTGGCCACTGTGAACTTTGAATAGAATTCTACTTTGAACTATTATTGTACCAGAGAGTGGGTGTATATAATTAACAACAACAAGTTTATTTGGACATTTTGAATTTATTTGTCTATAATTAATGTTATAATATATGTGAAATAAATCTATATTGTTTGTCGTGTTGTAATTACTGTAAAACACAAGTACATTTAACGTGTACCAAGAAATCCCAAAGTAACCTAGCCCTCACACTACCACAAATCGGCTAGTTTGTTACATTATTAATGAATATTAATGAGGTTGAAACGCTGATTGGTTGCGAGCAACGGCAATGTATAAAATCTCAGCTACATCTCGTTCATGAAATTCCAATTTCATGGCGAGATTCTTATGAAATTGAGAAATTTAGACCATTTCGGATTTATTTCTAAAAAAAGCTCAACGATTTTCATAACTTTTGGAAGAAAATTAGCAATGATACCTTAACAGTATAAAAAAAACTTATGACATACAAAGTCAGTGAGATATGTTATATCTTAAATGAACTATCTAACTTACCTTGCCACTGATGTGTCTTAATTCTCGAATTAATCTCCGCAAAATGCGAACATTTGTGTTTTGGGCCGCCATGTCAGATCTCGCGTTAAAAGTCACATGGTACTGTGTTAGTGAATGGTGAAGAATCAATTCTCGTAACTCAGTGCACGAGATTAGACAAAATGGCAAGTTCTGTAGATACCCGGAAACTACCTGAAATATTCGATGATTGCTGGAAAGTATACCAATACCTAGACTCAACTGATGATCCAACGGTATCAACTCAATATCAGGTATGTTTTCAATACAAGTTTTTAGCCATTATTTCGATGATTGGTCTACAACTCTTTGATGTTGAAACACATGACATTGCAAATGCAATGGCACTGGCAATTTGTAAATCTCTAAAATACAGCTGGGGACATAAATAAATGACAGGTGGATTTGCTGAAGTGAGGATTTCCCATGTTAAAAATAAGAGAATTTACAAGAGGCCATAAATCAGTGGATGAGATTATACAAAATGTAAAATATACAAATTTTAAGGGATATGTATCTAGACAATATTGGAAATTATGGGCTTTCAGACCACCATAATTAGGAAATGGTGATCGAAAATCGACCTGTCATTTATTTTTGTCCCCAACTGTATGTTATAGATCTGTAATTGAAATAATTTAATGGCTAATATTATAGTAAGTATGCTTTTACATTTTTATATCCAAAAGGCCCTGTTTTCTTGGCCGAGTATTTATTATATCATGGGCTTTCAACTAGACCATGATTATATTGAGACATTTGACGGTCACAAGGGTGATGGTTATCTCGTACTAAGTTGACTAGAGTCAGGCCCGTAGCCAGGATTTGCCAAGGGGGGTTCAATTTTCAAAAATTTCCAGGGGGGGTTCACATTTGACAATTTTGGCCCAAATTAGGCTAAAATCACTTGAGAAGAGCTCAAAATGGTCAAAAACTGCAAGATTTTGAAACAATTTTTGGCCAGGGGGGGGGGGGGTTCACCCTAACCCTGCGAACCCCCCCCCCCCTGGCTACGGGCCTGAGAGTACCCTAGACTATATTCTACAGTATTTAGTCTGAAAAGTATTCAAACTGAATCTCATTCAGTCTGTTGGAAACAAACTAACAAGGCCAGAACAAAGAGATGGGATTGTAACTAGATGACCCTGTATAAATGTATCTTGATGGATACAAATGTACAACATAATGTTTACAATGTTTTACTTTATAGGATAAGGTGAAGACGGGGATTCCTGATGCAGAAAAGGCAGTATTCATGGTAAACAAACTAGGACTGTTCAGCACTAATGAGGACATAGAAGAGGTTGCATCTAATGAAATAAAGTGAGTTGTACATTTGGAATGCCTCATTTCATCCATAGACTGACATGCTGTTCTTCAAGTTTAAGATGTTTCATTCCTGTACAAATATCTTCTCAATCACAAACCACTTCCCTGATTGATAGCAATGAGAAAATGATTGGAAAAATACCTTTTTTGGCTTTGGAGACAATTGCTTGGTGGCGGCACCTTTTTCTGATGATTCAAAATGGGCATGAAAGTGCATGCATTCAAAGAGAAACGTCTAGAAAAATCCAATGAAATCACTGGTGATATGGTATTAAAATATTGTAATAATATATGATTATTTTACAGATACATGCTCTTATCTGCACTGTATGGATACTTTACCCTGAAACAAATAGATGGAGAAAGGAAACAAACACTGCAAGATGCTCAGGTAGGGCTAATATTCATTCTGACAAACTTAGTCCTGTAGATTTAAAATGCTGATTCACTCAATATTCTCATATCTGATCATGACAGGATCACTGTAATCTGGTCAATATGTTTGGATATGTTTTTACATTAATACGTAGGCAAGTCTTACAAAATAGTATTATGTCCAAATGAATCTTAAAGCTGTTCCACTGAGCATTAAATATCCAATATTTATGTTATTATTGCCTTATGTTTAAATTACACTAGCAATAACTACATGTTGTACATGTATGTAATACTAGTGTGCTTTGATGATTTTTTATTTTTCTTGTTTTAGTTGTGTTATGTTGACTTTCTGAAGCTCTGCAAGTCGTATAATGTCACATCAATAGATCCTTCCACATTTTTACAATCAGGAGACTCAGCTAGCAATATGGGGTAAGTTAGAGCTTACATTCAAATAAAGTACATGTACTCAAAAGAAAAAATTCAGTAAACATGTACACTCTTGGAAAAAAAGGTTGAAACTTCAATTAAAGTAACACCCTGTTGAAAACAAATACATTTCAATTAAGTTGAGATTTTGGAAATCAAGAAAAAAGGAGAAAGTTCTATCAATCTCAGTGTTGTTATCAAATCCTTTAGACTGCTTTTACTGCACTGTAGTACTACCATATTCACCGTAAAAAGCGCCAAGGGTGCTTTTGAAATTGAAATTCCCATTGTAACCCATTCCAAAGAGCACCCATATATGAGAGAAGTCAAAAATCCCTGGGAAATTCATGTTTGGGAATTTGATTGATTTTATGTTACAGAAAACCAGACCTTCTGAGTCAAGTCAACAGCAGAGAGAACAAGATTAAAAGATTCAAGGAGCAAAAGGCCAGAGAGGCAAAGCTGAATGAATTGTATACATATATACAACAGGAACATGTGGATGATGAGAAAAAGGTACAGTATATTTGATAAATTCCCATTAGCTCATTTTTGCACTGTGCTTCAAATTGCTTCAGAAGCTATAGATTTTGAAAATTGTGATTGCTTGATGGAAGTGGAACTCCCATTAACAAAATGTATCCGTCATAACCATGGTAACTGGTATCCGTCGTAACCATGCTAACTGGTAACAAGGTTGGTTACAGAAATATCGCAACAAATGACTATAAAATTTTATTTCACAATCTGAAATGAACATGTTTATAAAACTTGTATTTGTTTGAAAGCAGAAAGCTGTATTTCCAGAGGGAATATTACACATCATTACTAGAGAAATGGGTGGATATAGCTGTAGAGGAACTACAGAGTATCAGAAGTAAGTCATATGTTAGTTAGAGTATCTTTTATCATTTGAGCAAGTGGGTGCTAAGTACCTATAGTAAAGAAATTGAAAAATCCAAGCTCTAACTGAAGTCTCTTTTAAAATTTTGGAAGTGAAACTGAAAACACTGAATTCTGATCAGTTTTGGATATTCTTCGACAGAAAAGGTATCATGAGAATTTGCACCCAGTTGAGAAAATACCCAGTAAAGAGGATAACATTGATTGTAATTGGCATTTCATTGTACAGTATAATATTTTGTTATGTAGTTTTTGTGTCATTCTGATATCATCTAGTTGATAATATTTAAAAACTTAAGCAACCAGCATCATTCATTTCTTAATATGTTTGGTTCTTTCTGTGAATATTTATATTTGTTTTCAGTGGAACTCCCCTTTGTGGAACAGATGGCCAAGATGAAGAAAGAAGGAAAGGAAAACAAAAATGTAAAACCAAAAGAAAAACCTCAACAGGTTCGTGTATGATATGGTAAAATATTCTATTGATCGAATACGATTTTTCATAACTGCTTTAAATTGATCTGTTGCAGTATTTTTTGTATTAAAGTTACTGGACAGATCTTGCAAAATGTAGCATGTCACTTTGGATTTTTCTCACAAAGTTAGAATAATGAATGAAACAATTCATAGCACCATCTATAAACTTAACTTTCCCATATTTAATTTAGGCCCTGAGACCATTCATCCTAACAAAGGATGCTCTGCAGGCCCAAGTGTTCGGTTTAGGCTATCCCAGCATTCCTACTTACTCGATAGACCAATGGTATGACCAGCAAGTGGAACAAGGACGGTTGCCAAAGCCAGGGTAAGATAATTTTGATTCAATCTACCTCATATATACTATATTGCTCTTTATTCTCTTTAGAATTTAGAAGCGATATGATTGATTTTAATAATATATTGAAAATATACAAGAGGGGGGGTTGAAAGTTTTCAACTGCAGTACATCATCATGTGGAAGAAGTATCTATGATATTTTAATGCTAAGAAATATGAATGTATGTTATCAATATTTGCTAATCTGGTCTAATCGTAGCTACTTATAAGAGCACTTCACTTTACCAAGTAAATTTTGATTTATTCATTCTATTGCCTTATGTCAATGTGCAAACAGTTTTGACTTGCAGTAGTGTTTAAACAAGAACCCAAAATGATCACAAAATTGTTTCAATACTATGTCAATCTCCAGGGAGTCTAATGATATGATGAACCAGGCAATGAACATGAATCCTGGTTTTGATGCTGAACAAAAGGAACTAGAAGATATAGAAAAAGAAGAAAAAATAGAAAAAGATGATCCAGAAACTTTACAAAAGGCCAGAGATTGGGATAATTGGACGGATGGTAAGTTTTTATGTCCCCACCACATAGTGTGGGGCCATATTGTCGTCCTAGGCGCGTCCGTCCGTCCGTCTGTCTGGTTGGTTGTCTGTCTGTCTGTCCGTCCGTACGTCCGGCAGTTTTCTCCAAAACCGCTACAGGTATCACCTTCTAATTTTCAGGAATAACTTATGAGTGCCTATAGATGTGGATGAAAAAAATTTAACTCAAAACCTACTTCCTGTCGGCCATTTTGAAGTCAAATGCTAAAATCCTTGTCTGCAAACTTTAAGAAAAACTGCTTCACAGTTGCTTTTAAAACTTTAACATCTTGTTCAGCTCACTTCATTCTAGATCTGATTAGGTTTTGGACCTGCTAGCTCAGTCATGTCAGCCATTTTGAATGTCTTAAGAAAAGTTAGCGCGCGATAATACTTTGTATCATATTGAATGGTGTTTTTGAGTTTTCATACTTTAACTATTTAGTAGCTTTATAAATAATTTCAGATGTACTTTGCTGTAAAAGCCTACTTTATTGTTAACAGTAGTTATATGTGATAATTTTGTAAAAAGAAATCAGCAAAAACTCATAAGGACTTTTTTATTGTCGGCCATTTTGGATTTTTCGGTCCTAAAATCTTGTCTGTGAAGTCTTGTCTGCGCGTTTTCAGGTGAACTGTTTGGTGGATCAATTTCAAATTTTCAGGGATGATTCTTAGTATAAAAATCTAGATCTCATTAGTTTTTTGGCATTCTGGGTAAATGTCAAGGCAGCCATTTTGGATTTTCCGTCCTAAAATCTTGTCTGTAAAGTCTTGTCTACTTGTTTTCAGGTGAACTGTTTGGTAGATCAATTTCAAATTTTCAGGAATGATTCTTAGTATGAAAATCTAGAACTGATTAGTTTTTTTGCATTCTGGGTAAATGTCAAGGCAGCCATTTTGGATTTTCCGTCTTAAAATCTTGCCTGTAAAGTCTTGTCTACGCGTTTTTAGGTGAACGGTTTGATAGATCAATTTCAAATTTTCAGGGATGATTCTTTGTATGAAAATCTACATCTGATTACTTTTTTTGCATTCTGCGTAAATGTTAAGGCAGCCATTTTGGATTTTCTGTCCTAAAATCTTGTCTGTAAAGTCTTGTCTACCCGTTTTCAGGTGAACCGTTTGGTAGATCAATTTCATATTTTCAGGGATGATTCTTAGTATGAAAATCTACAAACAGATTAGTTTTTTGACATTCTTGGTAAATGTCAAGGCAGCCATTTTGGATTTTCCATCCTGAAATCTTGTCTGTAAAGTCTTGTTTACATGTTTTCTGGTTAACTGTGTGACGGATCAATTTCAAATTTTCAGGGGTGGTTCTTAGTATGAAAATCTAGAACTGACTAAATTTTTGGCATTCTGGGTAAATTTTAAGGTGGCCACTTTGGATTTTCCGTCCTCAAATTGTGTTGGTAAAGTCTTGTCTACTCATTTTCAGGATAACCATTTCACGGGATCACCACTTGGTGGGGACATTTTGTACACATTTGTGTTCTTGTATATTCTAGTGAATAGATGCAGATCCTTTCTGCTTTTCTTTCTGTTTTCTGTATGCTCTTTATTTCACCATTTAGGCAATATACATGGAATTATAGTATTGGTGTTTTCATCACCAAAAAAAGGAACTGAATTTTGTAACTAGAGATTAAATTATTAAACAATGATTTATTCTAGAGAGGTTGCTTTACTGTAGAAATACATTTGTTTTGTGGAAAATACTGATGAACAAAGACAATTTTTCTATTTAATATTTTTGCATTTCAGAGCATCGGAGGGGGTGGGGTAATACAGACAATAAAGGATAGCATATGTCAAGTTACCAAGATGTTTGTATTACTTACATATACTACTTCTGTAGTTGTGAAGTTGTAATGGAGGTCGCCACCCACATATAAGCTGAATGTTAATTTAAAAATGGCTGCCCTGTCCTGTAAGTACTGCAACAATGGCTGTGCCGTGGTATGTGTATTACTACAATGACTATGGTGGAGTATGTGTATGATGACAATGCTGTGGTATATGTATTACTACAATGACTATGCTGGTATGTATATTACAACAATGACTATGTTGGCGTATGTGTATTACTACAGTGGCTATGTTGCGGTATGTGTATTACTACAATGATTATGCTGTGGTTTGTGTATTACTACAATGACTATGCTGGTGTGTATATTACAACAATGACTATGTTGGCGAATGTGTATTACAACAATGACTATGCTGTGGTATGTGTATTACTACAAGGACTTTGCTGTAGAATGTGTATTACTAAAATGGCTATGTTGTGGTATTACTACAGTGGCTATGTTGCGGTATGTGTATTACTACAATGACTATGCTGGTATGTATATTACAACAATGACTATGTTGGTGAATGTGTATTACTACAATGACTATGCTGTGGTATGTGTTTTACTACAATGGCTATGCTGTGGTATGTGTATTACCAGGTCGTTCAATAAGTTCTCATAATTTTGCTCTCATTTTAAGAGTTTTTTATATTTTTCCATGAAAATTTCACAGACGATGCAGAATGTATCTGTGTAACAACCCTGCAAAAATTAAGTTTTAATTCTAATGGTCGTGAAAATGGCGGTTGTTATAGTAACATGAAAAATGGGTAGGCGGGGCAGATTATTTGACGTCATAGTGGCATATAATTCAGTTCAACATTGTGGAGAGTAACAAGTGTTTTAATGTCATGTAGTCCCATTTATCCCATGAAATAGTATGGGGTAAATGTTTCTATTCCTACTTTAAATGCTCAAAATAATGTCCATTGGATGCGACACACTTTCGATGACGTTCTACCCAATCCTGGAAGATTTTATGGAATCCATCAGGAAATCTAGCTCTGAGAGCATTTTGGACTGCATTCTGCAAATCTTCTGTCGATGCAAATCGAAAACCTCTCAGCTCATCTTTCATTGGGCCAAACACGCCAAAGTCGCATGGGGCTTCATCAGGTGAATATGGTGCCTGTGGGAGAACTTCCATTCCGAGTTCTCCTATGGTGTTCAGTACAAATTCTGCCCGGTGACACGGGGCATTATCCTGATGAAATATTCTTGTCGCCAACTCTAGGAGGGGGCGTTTCTTTGAGAAGGCCCGTTTGAGATGCCTCTTGAGAACCTGAAATAGTCAGTAGGATAGGATACTAATGCCTTTAACATTTGTACTTAACCATTTTTATAGTTCAAATCTGATTTTAAATTTGATTTGATTTAATGTTTTTACTCTTATATTGATTAATTTATTAATAATGAATAAGCTTACCATTGCATAATAGTCCTTGTTTATTCTCTGACCATCAGGAATTGCATGCGTAAGCAGCACCCCAGAGCTATCCAAAAACACAATGAACATCACCTTGCCGTCATTTTTGGTCAGTTTTGCCAGGGTTGAAATGGGAGTAGGTGAGTTCTTAGTTCTCCAACCACTTGATGCTCTCTTCCCAAGGGGCTCATAATAGCTGACGTACACCTCGTCGCATGTGATAATTCGTTGAAGAAAACTATCCCCTTCATCTTGGTATCGTCTTAGAAATTCTTGGGAAACCTCAACTCTGCGGGCTCTCTGGTCACTAGTTAACTCCTTTGGCACCCATTTAGCACACATGAGGTTCATTTTAAGCTTCTCTTTCAGAATGAAGTGTGTTCTACCTATACTAATGTTCACATTCTCACTAAGTTCCCGTACAGAGATGCGGCGATCATCATCTAGAACTGTCTTAACTCTTTCAACAGCCTTTGGGTTGGTGACTTTTACCGGTCTGCCAGTCCGTTTTTCATCCATCACAGATTTTCTTCCCTCTGAACCAAACCTTTGATACCATTGGTATATGGTATATGTGTGCTCATTAACTCCTTTCCATAAATATCTTGAACTGCTTTTATTGTTTCTCCTCTTGATTTCTTGGATAACACACAAAATCTTATCACACTACGGATTTGAATTTGAATTTCATCTTGACTTTTCACAAGACCACAGTCAGCTGCCATCTTGGGTCTCTCTATTGAAACCTTTTCTGTGATGTCATACCTTTTTATGTGATGTCACAGTAATAACTATACTCAGAAAAGTTGCATCTTTCACACTGATGTCAAAACCTGTTTCTATGGTTGCAAATCTTTCAGATAAAACATATGACATTTCAAGATGAAATCTAACTACATCCATGGATTTTACGATCAAATAAAGTTGCCCCGCCTACCGATTTTTGACGTTACTATAGCAACCGCCATTTCCACAACCATTAGAATTAATACATAATCTTTGCAGAGTTGTGGTATGTGTATTACTACAAGGACTTTGCTGTAGAATGTGTATTACTAAAATGGCTATGTTGTGGTATTACTACAATGGTTATGCTGTAGAATGTGTATTACTACAATGACTATGCTGGTGTGTATATTACAACAATGACTATGTTGGCGAATGTGTATTACAACAATGACTATGCTGTGGTATGTGTATTACTACAAGGACTTTGCTGTAGAATGTGTATTACTACAATGGCTATGTTGTGGTATGTGTATTACTACAGTGGCTATGTTGCGGTATGTGTATTACTACAATGACTATACTGGTATGTATATTACAACAATGACTATGTTGGCGAATGTGTATTACTACAATGACTATGCTGTGGTATGTGTTTTACTACAATGGCTATGCTGTGGTATGTGTATTACTACAATGACTATGCTGAGGTATGTGTATTACTACAAGGACTTTGCTGTATAATGTGTATTACTACAATGGCTATGTTGTGGTATGTGTATTACTACAGTGGCTATGTTGTGGTATGTGCATTATGATTGTGACAATGCTGCATTCAGTATTCTACAATAAATATGCATTACTATGAAGACTATCTTGGTGCTTTTGTGTATAACTGTAATGACAATGCTGCTATTCTTGTATCACAACAACAACCCTGCAGTTTGTTAGTATTAAATTAAAATGACGATTCTGCTGCAGTATATCATGTGTAACAACATCAGGGGACTTGCTGAATATAACTTTAAATATCAAATGCAAAGATAGTTATCATTTCTAGGAAAATATTTAATCAATTCGTCAAATATTTTAAATTATTCTTTGATATTTATAAAATCCCAACTAGAATAAATGTGACCAATTTAAAGGAGAGCTTTGCCCAAATATATTTTATGATGTTATACCCTATACACGCTACTTGGTTGTGTTTCGGGTCTTCGATAGTGATTATATAAAAAGTTGTAATGTCCAACTTTGATTCAAAATGTTCACTCAGACAGCTTCCCTCAGGGTTGCAGGAATGGGAGAAAATGCAATACCATACTTTGGAAAATGTATGCATTTAAAGACAGAATGTAATTAATAAAGTTCAATTGAAATAAATAAGATATCATTTTGTCTGATCCACATCATTTAGACTGAATGCTTCATTTTGGCCATTTAGGTTATCACAAACAATCTCTGGTGGTTTTATCTTTGATTTTGACAATTTTCTGACCATGAAGACAGGCATATCTATTAGATCCATTCATTATCTCAAAGAAAAGTATTTACATGTACAATGATAATTACGTCAATTGGACTTGGTGGGTTCATTACCCTTTTAGTAGCACAGTCTAAACTATCATTATATATACCGGTACTTTTTTTGGACATGATGAATGGATCGAAAAGATGCAGTTATCTTAATAATCAGAAAATATTCATAATCCAAGATACAATTTTCTGAAATTGTTTGTGGGGCCATGTGGCTCTGTTCTTCAGTGTGTATTGTATTGCCCTAAGTGCACACTTAATTCCAGGAAAACTAAAGATTTTTACAATAATGTATTATTTTTCTATTATTTCTTATTATTTGGGAGAATTTAAACATTTTGCACCTATTTTTGCACTTTGAATCCATTATAACTTCACCAATTTATAACATATCATGAATCTTTTTGGGAGATATTGTATTTGAGATTGTAAGGAATAGATTGGTAGGTCAATCGTACATGTTGCTTGCAATTTTGTCACCCCCATAGATCTGATTCTGCCTTTAATATTGTTCCATGGTATTTTGGTTAGGATTATGATATTGATTTTTGAATATAATATAATGGTAGTGTTAAACCATTTCCCTTACATCCCTGGTTAGACATACAAAATCTTTGAAATTTCAACCATATCAAACTATTTATAATTGGATAAATTGTTCCTTTATTATGTGTGGACACCACAATCCAACAGGATTCTGCTGGGTGCAGTATCATGATCATAAATAAAGAATTCATGTTTATGCCCTTCCCATTATAAGATATAAAACAATGCATCAATCTCAATGTGATCAATAATGGGAACAATTATTATTATATTTTCATATTTTGGAGTTTCTATTTCATAAACGATCAGTGAGATTGAAATATCAAAGCCAAATGTCCAAAGCAAAATTGTTTTTAGGAAACTTAAAATATCAACTGTGTGCAATTTTGAGAAGGTTATGGCTATTACTTTCTGGTAAAAAACAAATACACTACAGTGATACTAGCTAGTAACTTCTACACAAATATTTTGGATTAAACCAACACAAGAACTATATACAAGTATGTACTGTATAGCGCACAGTATATTACATTTATTACTAAAAATTATAGATATGTAGTAATATTATAAATCTTTAAAAGTGATTAACATTAGGATAATTATTGCAAATTATCTGTTATCCTTAATAAATATATTACAAATAACATGATGAAAACTTGATTTAAATAATTAAAAGTGAGACATGATTAAATAAAGAATTTACATATAATATGTATATGTATAGGAATGTATTATACAAATATTCAGTATAGAACACCAGTACAGTCTAGTGCATTATACAGGTAAAATCTAATACAGTACTCTGGCGCAGGGCTAGAACACAGTAATCTGGAACTGTAATGTGCTCTGGTAGAACTTAGTATATTACAAGTATAGCACAGTCTATTACCACATAACAGTATAATGGTACAGCCAATGGTAGAACTGTCTTGTATGGTACTCTATGGTACAGTATAATACATTCATGGAAAAATATCATGAAGTATTCATAAAGTTAGAGCATATAGTGCATTACTTATGGAACAACCCTTGTATAGCACAGTAGCTATGAAACAGTGTACTTTACTCTTTGACAGTCCAGTTCATTACTATGAATATATTTTGAATATCTCCCACTTTTGCGAAGTATTTTTAAGAAACTGTCTGATTGGCTAAAAAGTATATTAAACAAATACTGGATGATCAGGAGCTGAATATGGCAGAATACCTATTCGACAAAAAAATATTGGGCGAGGTGGTAGCCGAGCCCAATATTTTTTCTGATTTATTATGTTTTATTAAATATTGTCCACATATGACAGACTTCTGTTCATAAGATTACAAAATTTCTTGATTGTAAACTTATAGTTTTGCTTCAGAAATTCACCCAGCTCTAATCATTTCCCTTAAAAATAGCGTAAATCCACATTTTGCGCTCAGGACATGCTCAGGTTGCACCCTCAGTGTATTCTGTTTAAAAACTAAAAACTAAACAGTAAATATCTATATCTGTGATTTTCAAATAGCACAGGTCGCAAATGCACCAAATGCTTTTATTAAATCAATCTTCTACCTCAGACCCTCTTCTGACTAAATATTGAGAGAGAACAATGGGAGTCAGTCCTCTTTGTTCGGTGTTATCATACTGAATGATAGATTTATACATCTATTTACCAAGGATCATATCCCTGGTATTTCTGAGATCCACTCATATGTGTCATACCAAACATACTGTACTGAAAAGAATTATCCTGCTAGGTAAAATGCCTTTCAATGCAATGATTTTCAATACAGGAATGTCTGTTAGGGGTGACATCTATGCATGTAGAGTGTGTTTTTTGCAAATTATCAGCAATAGTTATCAAGTGCAATTTACAAAAAGATTTACAATTTTGCTATTAAAATAATTACTGAAGCAGGTTTACCAAGTGTCACCACTGTTGAGCCTCAAGAGAAAATGAATCCACAGAGACACATGATCCTTATACAAATCTTGTATAAGCGATAATTACCAATAAGATTCTTTAAGCATTTTAAATCATTCATTCACTCGTTATAAAGGATTGGTATCGATATGGTGAACTTTTTGAACACATGTTTCTCTTTAACCAGTCATTAAAACATTATAAAAATTTTACACATCGTCAATTTAATGGTCATCTTTGGAGTGGTATCAATATAATTTGAAAAAATATATATGCTTTTCTCTATATTATTTTAGAAAACACGTCAGACACTTCTTTTGTTCTTGGTATCATATGTTCGGAATGAAATCAAAAATTTTTCCAAACCTCATTGGAACAAAACGACATAAACACAACATGTTTAGGTCTCTCAATATTGTAATTGTACAAAGGAAATTTTGGTTGATTTTAAAAAAGTATCTTGTTAATGAAATAAAAGGTCCATCTTAATTTTTATCTATTGGGGGTTTTGTTTTAATTCTTTGAATACTTTTTGTAAAGTCAACCAAAATTCCCTTTGTATAACTTTAATATTGAGAGGTCTAAAAAAATGTTGTATATGCTATTTTATTCCAACAAAGTTCAGAAAGACATTTTATTTCATTCTCAAGAATTGGTAGAAAGGAACAAAAAACAATTGCACTAAAAAACAAAAAATGTTAACAAAAACAGTTATATAAAATATATATAAATAATTTTCGCATTAAATTGTTGTCAATCAGTCAACATTACATAAACGACCATGTTTTTTACAGAATGTTTTCAATAATTGGTTTTAGAGAAAAGCATTGTTGAATTCAATTCACCATATCGATACCTATTTAAAATTATGATTAAATATACACTGTTTAAAAATAAACAGAAAATATCTTCATGTACAAATATCTTATATAACAAGGCATTAACATGCAAAATGTCACCACCTGCCATTTGTTACAGACACAGAGATCAGACTGCTGAACGCTGTCACAAAAAGGTTGGAGGCCATAACAATATGTCACCATTTGTGGTAGTGACATAATAATAACAAAACTACATGGAACAATTCGGTCAAAAAGTCCAAAATTGAACATTTTGATTCTTAACTGGATGAAACACTCAGTCGCCTCAACGTTGGTACAACATCTGGCATATGCATGCCCAAGGCCATTAATGATCATCATGGTCAATGCTCCTCCGGGCTCTATGCTGCAAATAACATACTGTCTGAGACAACATAACCTCCATCTACTTATTCCCTGCCATCATCTCCCATTGCTAAAAATACAAAAATGAAACAATCCAAGTTGTTTTGTAATAAAAGATTGTGCATCTTCGCCAAGTAGTATATCAACCACAATAAACTACTAATCTATATTTCTAGCTCTAAACTAATTTAAATGTGTTTTAACATGCCAAGATAAATAAACTTTTTTGTTCTTTAATTTTATAAATTTGCAGTTAAAGGGAAGTAGTATATCACAGAAGTGGAAATAATTCAGTATTGGATCATACCTTAAGTCTCTGTTGCACTTTCTTGCCCCCATATGCGCCAGCTGTAGAGGTGTTGGCGGCCAATTTAAGAGATACAGATTTATTTTGTGTTTCTCCTGCTTTACTTAATGATGTTTTTCGTTGTGTTCCCCCAAGTTTTCTTTCTGTTTCCCCAGCTTTATTTTGTATTTCAACTGATGTTTTTCGTTGTGTTCCCCCAAATTTTCTCTCAGTTTCCCCTGCTTTATTTTGTATTTCAACTGATGTTTTTCGTTGTGTTCCCCCAAATTTTCTCTCAGTTTCCCCTGTTTTATTATGTGTTTCCTCTGATTTAATTTGGGATGTTTTTCGTTGCGTTCCCCCAAATTTTCTCTCTGTTTCCCCTGTTTTATTTTGTGTTACTATTGTCTTTATTTGTGTTCCACCCAACCTATTTTCTGTGTCCCCCATTTTATTTTGTTTTTCCTTGGATTTACTTAGTGCTGCTTCTATATTACTCGTTTCTGTTGACTTTTGCTTCACTACTGCAATATTATTATTAGGTGAAGCTCCAGTTATACTGCTTGACAATTCCTAAAAATAAAAAAAATAAACAAAAAAGAGAAATCATGATTTTGTTTTTTGCTAAAAGACATTTCATGTTAAACAGGGATCTCCCGAGAATTTCTCAACAAATGCATTTTTGCAAACAGAGTTTCAACAGGTTAGCATGTAATTTTTGGATTTTTTCAGGGTGCATGCACCTAATATTTCATTATATCTATGATTTAAACTTCAGAATGTTTCATTACTATACTGAACATTTTCATGCATTCTAAATGGTAAATACTCCATACTTAAAGAAAAGTAGAATAACTATTTTTCCATCGAGTTATTAGACTAGCATTTTTTCCATTTTGATCTGGGTGAAAAGCAGCTATTCAAAGGAATCGTAAAAAAAATTAAACACCAAAATGATAATGATTGAAATTAAAACTCCAAACTGCTAGTTGATTTATTGAATAAAACGCCAATAGACAGATTATAAAACACAAGGGACAACATTTGGAGAAGACTATTGAGCAATACATACACACAAACTGCACTTAACCTACAACAAAAACACTAGAACCCTCAACCAATATAGAATGGGAAAATCCTTTTTAAATTGATTTTCCTGTTTATAAACATACCCACCTCTCAATTAATTGCCTTAGATTCCTTTGCAATCTAACATATGGTATCCTAACACCCCTCTGGTTTTTACTGATGACATTAACTTGGACGCGTCCAACTAAGTATAAAACTAGTAAGTACACGTGCTGAGGTCCTCAATTTCCCTATTCCCCCTAGTGAATAGCGGGGAGGTTGGGTGGGACTTTGGTAATTGAGAGGTGGGTATGTTTATAAACAGGAAAATCAATTTAAAAAGGATTTTCCCAGTATTATTACACATCCCACCTCTCAATTAATTGCCTGAATGTAGCCAAAAAGGTGGTGGGTGAATTCAGTAATAACCAGAGGGCCCCACAAACCATGAGTAGAAACATTCTGAATTTAATTCTAATAAATAAATAAGAATGTTTGATGAAAACAGGTTTTGAACTCACCCTACTGTAATGTTGAAGTTATATGTCGTACAGGGTGCCTGCAATCATCATAGGACCCAGTTTCCGCAGTTCTCCCTCAATCACTGATGTATCTCTGAGGTAGAAGCTGGTAAATGTGTTGTGATTTGCCCATGAGCATGCTTTGAGAACTGCGGCCACTGATAAGTTTGCTTGAACAGCTAGACTTGCAGAAAGGGCCCTGGTTTCGTGGGGTTTAATGGAGTCGATCCTGTAATCTGATTCTTGTGAATTTTTGTATGTATACAAGATCAGATTTTTCACCCAAGATGAGATAGTGTTAATGTGTATATCTCCATCGTATCCAGGCTTAAATGGAATAAAAAGTCTATTCCTGTTTCCTCTTCTAGCGACTGTGGCTTGTAGGTAAAAGCGTAAGGCTCTCAGAGGACAAAGTTTCCTGTCAGGTGAATCTTTATCCACGAAAGAGGAAAGAGCTTTTATGGAGATTGGTTGAAAACGAGATTCTCCTTCCGCAGCTGATAGTGATTTAGGCAAAAAACCTATAAAGGGATACATAGTCACTTGATCCCTGTTTTCTGACCATTTTAGGCGTCTGAAGTCCAGTGCATGAATATCACTTCTTCTCTTGCCTGAAGCCATGAGTAGCAGGAATAGAGTTTTCCATGTTGTGAACTTTAATTCAGCTGTGGCCATAGGTTCAAATGGTGCTCTTGTTAGTGCATTTAGAACGAACACTAAATTCCATTTGGGAATAATGTTTTTAGGTATTACATTTTCTAGTTTGAAGGATCTAATAAGATCTCCTATTAGTGAATTGTCAGTGAGGTCTATATCTGAAGACTTCTTTAGTACTGTGTTGATAGCTGTCCTATAGCCTTCTATAGTTGGAATAGAGAATTTCTTTGTCTTGTGTAGGTAGAGAAGGAATTCTGCCACTAGAGGTATATCTGTTTGGCATGGATTTGTATCCCGTTCTTCACACCAAAGAGTGAAGGTGTTCCACCTGGAATCATAGAGTTTATTTGTTGATTTCCTTCTAGATGATTCTGATATTCTAGAAGACACTTCTGAAGAAAATCCTTGTTTTTTGAGGGAGTCGTTGACAATTTGCAGGCGTGAAGAGCAAATATTTCTGGAGTTTGATGAAACATGCTTGTTTTTGGCATCTTTAGAAGCTTTGGAGATGTTGGTAGAGTTCTTGGATGGTCTACTAGTAGATCCAGTAACTGAGCGAACCAAGGTTGATTTGGCCATTTTGGAACTATCATTATGGCTTCGCAGGTGTGTGTTTTCATTTTTGTCAAGACTTTGTCCATCATGCTTGTTGGTGGAAATATGTAGAAATTCAGATTGTTCCATGACATTGACATTGCATCTGTTCCCCAGCTGTTTTGGTCTGGGACTGGGGATACGTACAGTGGTAATTTGTTGTTGTGACATGTTGCCATCATATCTATGTGGGGAGTTTCCCATATCTGCCACAGTGATTGCACAATTCGTGGGAGTAGAGACCATTCTGTGTTGACTATTCTGTTCCGAGATAGAGCATCTGCTCGTCGGTTTAGGGATCCTGCTATGTGTTTTGCTTTTATGTTGATTTGATGATCCTTGCACCAATTTAGGATTTCTTGGCTCAGGGTCAGAAGCTGTTTCGATTTTGTCCCGCCTTGTTTGTTTATGTAACTCAATGCTGTGGTGTTGTCCAGGCAAAAGAGAATTTTTGCTTGGGGTACTAGAAGGTGATTTAGTTTGTGTAGAGCTTTCAGTACTGTTGCTAGTTCCAGCCAATTTATGTGATTGTTCCTCTCTGTAGGGGACCAGAATCCATTTATCTCCACTGTGTCCATGTGTGCACCCCACATTGTCTCTGATGCATCTGTGAAAATTGTGTGATCTGGGGTAAACATCCCTAATGGTTGGCCCTGTGAAAGATTGTTTTTGTCCATCCACCATTTCAAGGTGTGTATTACCTCCTGATTTATGTAAATAGGAGTCTCTAGGGATTGTAAATGGGACATTTGATTGGCTAGACATTGTTGTATCGGTCTCATGTGTAGCCTTCCCCAGGGTATGTTTTTCTCCGCAGAGGCCAGCAGGCCTAGTAGTTTCATCCAATGTCTCGCTGGTTGGTGTAGAGAGTTGATGAATAGATGAGAGATTTCTAGGATCTTTTGGATCCTGTCTTGAGGTGGATATACAAGTCCCAAGGCTAGGTTGTATTGTGAGCCTATGTATTTGAAGTTTTGAGTTGGGGTAAGTTCTGATTTTTCGAAGTTGATTATCAGTCCCAATTTTTCCATCACAGTTATTACTGTTTGAGTCCATATGAGGCACTGTTGGGCAGATGAGGCTCGTATGAGCCAATCGTCGAGGTACATGTGTATTGTTATTCCTTGGAAATGTAGGAATGCCCCAATTGCCAACGTTATCCTTGTAAAGACGTAAGGGCTGGTTGACATCCCGAATGGGAGTGTTTTGAACTGATACACTTGATTGTTTATCACAAATCTGAGGTATTTCCTGAAGTTTTTGGCTATTGGTACATGGAAATAGGCGTCCCGACAGTCTATGGAGGTAGCCCACTCGCCTATTTGAAGAGCACTGGAAATTTTTGCAGTTGTTTCCATCTTGAATTTTGGACAAGTTAGATACTTGTTGAGGAGAGACAGGTCTATTATAGGTCTGTAGTCTCCGTTTGGTTTCTGTCTTAAGAAGATTATGCTGTAGTGTCCTATAGTGTTGTTTTTTACTAGTTCCACTGCTTGTTTTTGAAGTAATTTTTCTACTATTTCTTGAAAAAGTTGGGATTTTCTTTTTGACGCCGATTCGAACCTGTTGAATAGGTTTGTCATTGGTGGTGTTGCTGTTAATTCTGGAGCATATCCATGTTTTACTATGTTTAGGATCCATTGATCCTTGGTAATGAGTTCCCAGTTGTGTTTGTGTTGTTGAATTCTGCCTCCCACTGGTCCCAGCTGGGCTGTAGGTGAGAATAGGGGGAGGCAGGGCTGGGTTACAGTTAAACTGTGAGTGTCATTTTCGCTTCTTTTGTTTGTTGTTATTGTCTTTAGTTGATGTAGAGGCTCTGTCATTGTTGTAATTGCCTCTATTGTTGTGGTTTCCTCTGTTATTGTTGTAATTTCCTCTGTTGTTGTTGTTGTGATAATTGCCTCTGTTATTATTTCTGTTATAGCTGTTTTTAGCTGAATAGTTGTTGTTGTCGTTTTTGGGCTTTTTCCAGTTTGAAGCCAGATCCTGTAGAGCTTTAGAAGTTTTGGATCTATCAGAGCCTTCACAAATTGTTTTTAATTGAGGCTCTGGGTATAAGTAGGTCGTATCAATTGGGAGATTCCTTAGTGATTCCGCATCAGATCTTCTGAATTTGGAACTGATACGATCCCTCTGTGTTAGAATCACATTGGTAATGTTTGAAACAGTATCTCTGGTTGCTTTGTTGACCATTGTAGAAGCTGTAGACAACAAATTAATCAAATCCTCATTGTCAGGGAATTTTTCTGCTACAATTTTACCTGTTGCCCCTAGCAGCCATTCTGTGTGTGATAAATATCTGAGGGGGGCTTTAGCTGATTCCTCTAACAGCTTGTGATGTTTTGCTGGCAGCTTATAATTTGTTGAATTACTCAATTCAGAGAGTTTCATTGTAGGTGGAACCAATTCTTTGATTGTGTTGTTTAAGATGCATTTTTTATAAAAATGTTCATCATCTTTCAAAGAAGTGAAAGACCGCTTAGGCCTGAGAAGGAAATTACCGTCGTTGGTGTTCCTCTTGTTGTATATTTCTTGGTTCATCGCTGTGAAATTTTGTTGAACAGAAGGTCCGATCGGTAATCCATTCGAATTCTCAGAAGACGATGCCTTCCTGCCCAAAGATTGTAATCCTAATGGAATATTTGCTGTTTGTTTGTTCGTGTTGGTATCGGGGCTCGTTGTAAAGTGTTCCGGGAATGCATTTTTTATCAATTTAATGCAGTTTTTCCACGAATTCGAGTCATAATCATTTTCTGATGCTGAAGAATCGGAATCCATTTCCGGGTTATTAACACTGCGCATGCGCGTTGTGTCTCTGTCGGGAGATTCCATTTCACTAGTGGAGGGGTGATCAGAACGATGCCGTTTAATGCTAAGTGTCCGTGCGGGCGAGCTATCGTCTTGTGAAGAAACCGGGGAATTATGACGTTTTCCTCCTTTGTTGTGAGCGTCTTTGAGAAGATCTGTTCCTGTTTTCAGGTTGACCTAAGAGCTCAATATCCAGTTGTTTATTAGAGGCGATCATTTCCAATGTTGGAGTTAACCCCTTGATGATGTCTTGCACTAATCCAGACCCCGTTTGTTGATAAACTTGGGGTTCATTTAGGGGTTCTTTGGAGCGTTGTAAATCGCGTTGTTTTTTCAGTAGCTTTTTAGAAGCCTGAATGTTTGTAGAATTGAATCCTATAGAGTTCAATTTATCGGACTGTAAACAGTCTCCACCTGGTCTCATGTGAGACATGGGGTTCTGATGTTTGTTGCTAAAAGTGTCCTGCACCTCATTCCCTCGAGGAAAGAGCCTAGAATCACTGGCTTTAGCGAGCCTGGGATCATGAAGATCTGGATTGAAGTCTGACTGAAGCAAGACTTCTTTAGCATGTTTGTCGAGTGAACCGCTGGTGTTGGTGTGTGATGGCATGTTATATGCAGAATTTCCAAAGTCAGTCGTGGAGTTCTGAAGAAAGCCTAATGAAGCAGAGTCTATAATTTGACCCTCTTCCAGTTCACCATAATACAATGCTGTGTTGTTGAGGTTAACATCCTTTAGGATGGGGTTGTTGTTGTTGCTGTCCATATTCCTAACTTCTGTAGGTTGACAAAATTTCTATACAGTAGTACGTAGATTGCACTTGTATGGGGAAATTGAGGACCTCAGCACGTGTACTTACTAGTTTTATACTTAGTTGGACGCGTCCAAGTTAATGTCATCAGTAAAAACCAGAGGGGTGTTAGGATACCATATGTTAGATTGCAAAGGAATCTAAGGCAATTAATTGAGAGGTGGGATGTGTAATAATACTATATATGAGTTGAGAAAGTCTAGTCATCAATGACAATGCTTATGCTAACAAGAGGGAAAACCAACAACAAACAAAGGGTAAGAGGTTTACAAAACAAACAAATCTGAGAATGCCCATACAGATATGAAGCTATGTATGCAGGAAAGGAACGCAATCTCCCATAGATCCAGACATGTAGATGTAGTTGTAACTTACAAATGTTTTCCTGACACTTTTCACATAAGGAATCAGAATCTGGTATAGTAATGAATGTGGATAAGATTTATGTCAAAACATTTTACAAGGTGGGCCAAAATAAATTTTACCCTCTTTTTTATTTGTGTACAATTCGAATGGATAACACTTTTTGGCCCACTCTGTAGATTGATTTATAATATACAACATGTATAACGTAAGGTGTAATCCACTTAGTTTTATAACTTTTGATTGAATGGTTCTAATGATATAATTGAGTTCTATATTTAATAAATATTTGGGTACAATCTAGGCTATTTATATGCATGTTCATGTCTACTCTCCCAAATCAAGGTCAGTATGACCCTGTTAAGGTCTGGCGATACTTGACTTGACCATAATTGCCACAATAGTTTCATAAGGGGATTTTATGTTATTTATTATTGTAAATGTGCATAAAAGTGTCTTAAAGTACAATACATAACAATTTGTACAATAATTTTTGTACAATTTATATTCTATAATAGCATACTGCTCAATGTTATCATTTACCTTTGATTTTGGATTTTTTGGGATTTTCTCGAGTCTGTTTTCCAATATTATTAGTTGCTTGTCAGTTTCCATGAACTCCATGTCAAGTTGCTTAAACTCCTTATCCAGCAGTTGTTTCTCAGAGGGCTTACGTGATGCCATTTTCTTGTCCCGCACTCCAGCTCTGAGTCAAAGATAAGAAAAGGCATTAACATGCAAAATATCACAGCCTGCCATTTGTTACAGATGCCAAACACCTACCACTGAACATCAAATGCCAAACACAATCCATAAAAAAGTTGGAGACTACAACTTCATAATAAAGTAAGGTCCTTCCAGGTAAAGAGAAAACAAGCCACAAATTGTTAACCAAAAAGTCATCATATTCCTCATATCATCATATCAAATTAACACCTGGGTATTAACATGAGCAAAAATATCTAAAAATCATGAACACAGTTATATGGTAGCAAAACGTTCATGTACGAAATAATTATCCTTTTGTTTTAGAACTACCGCCAATGCCTTATTTTTTAGGGAAGTACTGGGTGTACATAAAATGTACCTTTTTCGTTTAATTTGACCAATCTTCATTTTGAGGCTGTTAATCCTGGCTTTTATTCTGGGCTCATCTTGAAGGTCGTCAATGTCTTCACCCTCCTTCCCAGGGTTTGATCCACCAAATTTTTCCACTGCATAGAGTGATCTCCGTGAGGAGAGTGGAGCAGGAGAATTAGTAGTTGGAGAGTTATTGGATTTATCTAATGCGGAAACAAATTTAGAAAACTTCTCAACTTTATTGGGATCTGAAATATAAAGATCCTAATTCTGAATTTCTAAATACAAGTATAGCCTAATATCGCATTTTATTTTATCTCACAATGATTGAGTTATCTCTACAATAACAGCCAGTGATATTTCTGATATGAAGGAGATCCGTGTGATATTTTTCAGGAAATTGTTAATCAGACCCATATGTATTATTTATCACCCTAATATCTGTATGATAAACAAATTTTGTAGATATCACTGACTAATGTAATAATAATATATAGGCCTATCTGACTAATCATTTAATTTGCCTATTGACTAATTTTTGCCAGGTTCAGAAAATTAAATGTCGGAAATGTTATCTTCATAAAGTTATCCAATGGGAAGTTTCTTGTCATTAGGAAAACTAAAATAAGGAAAATGATAAAATTTGACCATTCGACAAATTACGTAACCACTCAGATAAAATACCACTTGTACTGTATTTCTAAAGACAGATATTATATAATGATACTCATAAACAATAATTATCTAGGAAAATATCAACACAATTTATATCACATTATAAGATTCCTCCAACATTACATCTTTGCAATAACCTTTACTGAGAACAATCTTTTTAATATTTTATGACTAAAGAGTGAGTGAAAGACACTCTTAGCAACTTAATTGATTCTAAAATAACTCAATACTATTGGTGGATAGAAAAGGTGAAAACTTACGACACTTTGTCTAATTTCAACCACTGACTAAAGCGAGTATGTATGTAGACCCCAAGTGTTCACAAAGACATAATAAAAACCTACCAAGTTTTGACACTGCAACTGGGGATGTTGTATTTGCACTATCCTCTGGATTTATTCCTCCGTCAACAGACTAAATTGATAAAATATATGATGTAATATTGATCACATTAAATCTGCATTTGGTAAATTCAGTTCAGGAAATCCAATCAAAAGGATGTAATTGAATTCATTGAAAATCTAGAAATCTTGTTATTCCAAACAAACCCCAATCTCAAAAGAAGATAGCAATAATAACACAAGAATTAATATTTGTATAAGAAGATTAATTCCTTACAGAAACTTGAAGCCTCAAAGGTATAGGATACTTACAAGGGAATGTGCGTAGCGAGAAGTGACTCCGTTCTCTCTGCCGGAGGAGGAACCATTTGTTACTTCTTCATTATTATCATTTGGTTCACCGTCAAACTCAGTATATTCAATATCATCATTCTCAGTGAATACACCATTATCTCCATGGCCATTCTTACATGTAGTGTTACTTGAGTTATCATCATACTCCTTATTGGCACCTTGCATGTCTATTTTCATGATTGATTTGAACACACTTTGGGCAAAGTTTGGACTATTCGTGGAGCTAGCTGTGTCTGGTCCCAAAGAGGCAGTTATCTCATGGTTTTCACGCTCCCTGCTTCCAGTGCTCCCTTCTGTGATTTCAATGCTGAGCTCTCCTGTGTTATCAGGCGAGTACCTATCAGTGTCATCATATAAATCATCTGAAGGGTAGCTCTCATGCTTTTTACTACTATCATCACTAATAGGTGTCATTACTGGTGGGCTTGATGTTGGTACTGGAGGGGCAACATTCTCATAGAGTTGCTCATCTAGAGTTGTAATGGAAGAAAATAACAAGGTATATTATGAATATAATATATGGTATTTGGTATTTTTGACCTTCAATGACCTTCTCAAGGTCAAAAAGGTTCTTTTTCAACTTGCTTCAAATTGACCAATGTTTTTTTCAAAATAATCTACAAGTTCTCAGAAGTTTTAATCTGACTATAGATTTGTGATTTCACCTTCAATGACCTTCGCAGAGTCCAAAAAATATTTTTTCAACTTGCTTCAAATTGAACAATTTATTTTTCAAAATCATCTACAAGTTCTCAGAAATTCAAATCTGACTTAGGATTGAACTCATAATATTGTGAGCACCAGGTGGTGAAGTTTTGTCATGTTAATGCATTGTTATAGCATTGATATGATATGGTATTGGTATGACAGGGTATTTGTTTAGCATTGATGGAATATTGGTATAACAGGGTATTTGAATAGCATTGACCTGGTATGGTATTAGTATTGAGGGAATATTATATGGTATTGGTCTGACAAAGTGACATGGTACTATCTGATGTGATAATGGTATTGATTAGAATTGCAAAGGAAAATATTTTATCCAAGTCTCATCATCTCAAAATATAGCCAATGCAACCTTTACTTGATGACATATTACATGCTATAATTTCCTGGCTGGATCGAACTGGCAACACAAGACAACGAAACAATGATGAATTACAATGTCCTCTGTAATGATCATCACTTAGAGTTGATGCATCAATACAAGTGCATTATTTAAGAGAAATCAAGGTTCCCGATGCTCCCAAATAATAGTATGTAATTACAACAAACACAGTAAACAGTTCATTATATTAGCTTTGTTGTCGGAGTTCAAAAGGATTTGAATTTTATAGTCGGGATGTTTTTATCTTTATGATGAATAAAAAGTGTTATGAGAAGTATTGACCACTGCATATCACTCAATATATTTAAATACATACCATCTCCTGGTGTGGTATTATGTGTTTTAGAGAAACTGGAATCTGCATAGCTATAGTCTCTGTCAGCACATTTGGTTTCCTTGATAAGTAGACCAACCCATCTCCCTTGATCCATAGCGTCAGAGGCCTAAATGACAAAGAAGGGTTAGAATTTCCAACAAGGGGTTAAAAGTGGACACACTTTGATAAATAGCCAATACCAATGAACCCATTACTTAACAGACATTTATTTGCCTTGTGAACACATTAACCTCGTTTACAAGGAACTATTTTTAAGATAGACACAGATCTTTACCAAAATAGAAATTTCAATTTGCGAAATACAATCTCAATTTGTTAAATAGAATGAGATTTCTATTTTTGTAGAAGTAATTTCATTTATTTGATCCATTAGTTTATGTGAAAAGTAAATGTAATCTTATCTAGGCAATTGAACCAGAAATATTGAAGCATTTGGATTTCATTTCAATAAATCATTCTTTGAAATATATTTCTCGCTGTAAAAGATTCACATTCCGTTCCAAATTCCATCACTTTTCAGGCCATGCGGGATTAGATCCATTATACGTAACTGTTATGGTAACACAATGGATTGCAATTAAGAGCCTAGTGGAATGTGAATCGATCAGAAATTTCTACTGCATCCAAATAATAAATAGGTAAAATAACAAATAACAATGATGGTAAGCTGAAAGAGCCAGAGCAATTAATTGATAAATAGTGTCACAAATGACCTTGAAACTTGTAAACATCTATCTTAGGATTTTCTATACCTCAAATTATCATTTGACTATCATTTGCGGGAGAAACTTAATAAGGCATATAAGCGATTATGGTAGTCCATTGATTTATCATTACATCTTTCTGATTTATCAGAGTCTCTCTTTATCTGAAGCTTGTGAGAGTATAAGAGAAAACATGTTCCCAGTCAGCGCATTCTCCAAGCAAATCAGTACATGTGAAGGAAAACATCGCGATAGCCACGCCCCCTTTGTCTTTCATCGCAATAGCTGCGCCCCCTTTGTCTTAATCCTTCCAAAGTGAATGGCAAACGGCAGATAAGAAGAATGGAAGAATGGAAGGAATATATTATTACTTAAGAATGCACCTTCTCATTCTCCCCTTTGTAAATTTTGTTTTATATAAAACTAAGATCTTAGAACTCTATTTTTTTGACAATTCTTGTTTTTATATTAAACACTAGTGATTATCTTGTATCACACTTTACGATATTCACTTTTCTTATTTTTTTCTAAAGTAGGAGACTCATAATGCAGTCATTAACGACATATACGCAATTTTACAACAACACCATGAATACTGTGCACTGATTTTTGGCAACATGATTTCCTAAATTATGACTGCATTAAGAGTCTCCTACTTTAGAAAAAAATAAGAAAAGCGAATATTCAAAGGGAGAGTACAGACTTTGCCCGCAATTTTTTTTATGGTTAACTCAATGAGTAAAAATCAAGAACATTTTTTGGTTGCATGCTGGGTCACATTGGCTTAATATCGAATTTTTATTCAATGTGATAATAATGTTATCAAGTGCAATACATGTTATCAAGTGCAATACAGTGTGCATTATTCATTGACAACATGATGATTCATGACTTGGTACACAATAACCTTCGTTTTTCATTAATGCATGCTTTCTTCATTAATGCAATTAATAGACGTTAAGTACGGGTGTCTACAAAACAAAGACCTAAGACCTAAGACCTACAAAACTAAGACCCCCCACGTTATAAAACTAAGACCCTGTTATAAAACTAAGACCCCCCATGTAATAAAACTAAGACCCTGTTATAAAACTAAGACCCCCTACGTTATAAAACTAAGACCCTGTTATAAAACTAAGACCCCCCACGTTATAAAACTAAGACCCTGTTATAAAACTAAGACCCCCCACGTTATAAAACTAAGACCCTGTTATAAAACTAAGACCCCCAACGTAATAAAACTAAGACCCTGTTATAAAACTAAGACCCCCCACATTATACAACTAAGACCCTGTTATAAAACTAAGACCCCCCACGTTATAAAACTAAGACCCTGTTATAAAACTAAGACCTCCCACGTTATAAAACTAAGACCCTGTTATAAAACTAAGACCCCCCACGTAATAAAACTAAGACCCTGTTATAAAACTAAGACCCCCCACGTTATAAAACTAAGACCCTGTTATAAAACTAAGACCCCCATGTGATAAAACTAAGACCCTGTTATAAAACTAAGACCCCCTACGTTATAAAACTAAGAGCCTGTTATAAAACTAAGACCCCCCACGTTATAAAACTAAGACCATGTTATAAAACTAAGACCCCCCACGTTATAAAACTAAGACCCTGTTATAAAACTAAGACCCCCCACGTAATAAAACTAAGACCCTGTTATAAAACTAAGACCCCCCACATTATAAAACTAAGACCCTGTTATAAAACTAAGACCCCCCACGTTATAAAACTAAGACCCTGTTATAAAACTAAGACCTCCCACGTTATACAACTAAGACCCTGTTATAAAACTAAGACCCCCCCACGTAATAAAACTAAGACCCTGTTATAAAACTAAGACCCCCCACGTTATAAAACTAAGACCCTGTTATAAAACTAAGACCACCCACGTTATAAAACTAAGACCCTGTTATAAAACTAAGACCACCCACGTTATAAAACTAAGACCCTGTTATAAAACTAAGACCCCCCACGTTATAAAACTAAGACCCTGTTATAAAACTAAGACCCCCCATGTAATAAAACTAAGACCCTGTTATAAAACTAAGACCCCCCACATTATAAAACTAAGACCCTGTTATAAAACTAAGACCCCCACGTTATAAAACTAAGACCCTGTTATAAAACTAAGACCCCCCACGTTATAAAACTAAGACCCTGTTATAAAACTAAGACCTCCCGCGTTATAAAACTAAGACCCCCCACGTAATAAAACTAAGACCCTGTTATAAAACTAAGACCCCCCACGTTATAAAACTAAGACCCTGTTATAAAACTAAGACCCCCCACATTATAAAACTAAGACCCTGTTATAAAACTAAGACCACCCACGTTGTAAAACTAAGACCCTGTTATAAAACTAAGACCCCCACGTTATAAAACTAAGACCCTGTTATAAAACTAAGACCCCCACGTTATAAAACTAAGACCCTGTTATAAAACTAAGACCCCCAACGTAATAAAACTAAGACCCCCCACGTTATAAAACTAAGACCCCCCACGTTATAAAACTAAGACCCTGTTATAAAACTAAGACCCCCCACGTTATAAAACTAAGACCCTGTTATAAAACTAAGACCCCCCACGTTATAAAACTAAGACCCTGTTATAAAACTAAGACCTCCCACGTTATAAAACTAAGACCCTGTTATAAAACTAAGACCCCCCACGTAATAAAACTAAGACCCTGTTATAAAACTAAGACCCCCCACGTTATAAAACTAAGACCCTGTTATAAAACTAAGACCCCCCACGTTATAAAACTAAGACCCTGTTATAAAACTAAGACCACCCACGTTATAAAACTAAGACCCTGTTATAAAACTAAGACCCCCCACGTTATAAAACTAAGACCCTGTTATAAAACTAAGACCCCCCACGTTATAAAACTAAGACCCTGTTATAAAACTAAGACCCCCCACGTAATAAAACTAAGACCCTGTTATAAAACTAAGACCCTCCACGTTATAAAACTAAGACCCTGTTATAAAACTAAGACCCCCCACGTTATAAAACTAAGACCCTGTTATAAAACTAAGACCTCCCACGTTATAAAACTAAGACCCTGCTATAAGAATCAGTCACCGTGCCTTGCTCTGCTCGCCACAAGGTAGTCTTGCCTCTGGGCCTTGTGTTCCCCAGTAACATACAACAGCGGATTATATAAAAATGGACTGTAACAAATACCCGGATTTGTTGATTTTTAAAAAAAGTAATTTTTTGATATCACTTTTTATGCCCGGCATAAAAAGTGATGTCCCATTTTATGCTGGCATAAAAAGTGATATCCCATTTTATGCTGGCATAAAAAGTGATGTCCCATTTTATGCTGAGCATAAAAAGAGATACTCCATTTTATGCTGGTATTGTTTTGGAAGTGATGTTTAATGGTAGTTCAAGATTTAAGACCCATCATTCTGGCACAGATTGCTGAACCATTGTTAGTTAAGAATTCCTAATAGAATTAAGAATTATTAGCTGAAACGGAGTTGTTTTGCCCTAGCAAACAATTTTCCAACTTGTAGTTCAACTTCTTCTGTCTATTTGTTGACAGTCTGTGATGTCATCATCAATCATCACAATAGAAATGAGGTAATTCACGATGACATCACAAAGTACTCTGATGACATCATCAATCATCACAATGGAAACGAGATAATTCATGATGACATCACAAAGCATCTCTGTCATAGATAGAACTCTGCCACATTTCTTAGAAATCAAACTACTATGTGACATCATAGATAATCTCACTGTCACAGATAGAATTCACCTAATTCCCATTGTGATGATTGATGATGACATCACAGACTGTCAACACATATAGACAAAAATGAATTTCAAATGCATATTGGGATATTGTTTGCTAGGACAAACAGAACAGTTTCAGCTATTAATTCTTAATTCTATTAGGAATTCTTAACTAAAATAAGTTCAGCAATATATGTGAGAAAGATGGGTCTGAAATCTTGAACCACCATGTTACTGGGGAAAACAAGGGCCAGTGGCAAGACTACCATATGTGTATGTTACTAGGGTAAACAAGGGCCAGAGGCAAGACTACCATGTGTAGAATCTTTATGTTAGTGGGGAGAATCTGTATATTAGAAGGGAACACAAGGACCAGAAGCAAGACTACCTTTTGTAGAATCTTTATGTTAGTGGGGAGAATCTGTATATTAGAAGGGAACACAAGGACCAGAAGCAAGACTACCTTTTGTAGAATCTTTATGTTAGTGGGGAGAATCTGTACATTAGAAGGGAACACAAGGACCAGAAGCACGACTATCTTTTGTAGAATCTGTATGTTACTAGGGAACACAAGGCCCAGAGGCAAGACTACCTTGTGGCGAGCAGAGCAAGGCACGATGACTGATTCTTATAACAGGGTCTTAGTTTTATAACATGGGGGGTCTTAGTTTTATAACAGGGTCTTAGTTTTATAACGTGGGGGGTCTTAGTTTTATAACAGGGTCTTAGTTTTATAACGTGGGGGGTCTTAGTTTTATAACGTGGGGGGTCTTAGTTTTATAACGTGGGGGGTCTTAGTTTTATAACAGGGTCTTAGTTTTATAACGTGGGGGGTCTTAGTTTTATAACAGGGTCTTAGTTTTATAACGCGGGGGTCTTAGTTTTATAACAGGGTCTTAGTTTTATAACGTGGGTGGTCTTAGTTTTATAACAGGGTCTTAGTTTTATAACGTGGGAGGTCTTAGTTTTATAACAGGGTCTTAGTTTTATAACGTGGAGGGTCTTAGTTTTATAACAGGGTCTTAGTTTTACAACGTGGGGGGTCTTAGTTTTATAACAGGGTCTTAGTTTTATAACGTGGGGGGTCTTAGTTTTATAACAGGGTCTTAGTTTTTTAACGTGGGGGGTCTTGGTTTTATAACAGGGTCTTAGTTTTATAACGTGGGGGTCTTAGTTTTATAACAGGGTCTTAGTTCTATAACGTGGGGGGTCTTAGTTTTATAACAGGGTCTTAGTTTTATAACATGGGGGACTTAGTTTTATAACAGGGTCTTAGTTTTATAACGTGGGGGGTCTTAGTTTTATAACAGGGTCTTAGTTCTATTACGTGGGGGGTCTTAGTTTTATAACAGGGTCTTAGTTTTATAACGTGGGGGGTCTTAGTTTTATAACAGGGTCTTAGTTTTATAATGTGGGGGGGTCTTAGTTTTATAACAGGGTCTTAGTTTTATAACGTGGGGGGTCTTAGTTTTATAACAGGGTCTTAGTTTTATTACATGGGGGGTCTTAGTTTTATAACAGGGTCTTAGTTTTATAACGTGGGGGGTCTTAGTTTTGTAGGTCTTAGGTCTTAGGTCTTTGTTTTGTAGACACCCCGTTAAGTACCTCCTATGTAAATGATGAAAATCAGAACTTCACAAGTGGATTTGATTATTACTGTAACAGTAAAGAAATTATAGCAATAAAACTGCCGATGAACTGCAGTCAATAAATGTGATTTGATAAGGTGTATTCAGCTAAATGAAAAGCAAACATTTTGACATGGAAATTGCATCAAGTATCTGCCTCGATACTCAGCGCTTCTTTTGTTATTCGTGAAATTGTTTTTGAAATGACCTGACAAGTGCCGTCTAGAAATTATTTGACAGAATATGGCTCTTTCTATATTTGATGAATGTTCAGCTTGAGGACATAATAAGTTCGTGATATCAAGCTTTTGAAAAAAGCAAGATTGTAAACATTAAAAGAAATTATAACTGTAAGTCATAAATAAGTAGACCATATTGATCATACCAAAATATGGCATAACTACTAAACACTAACAAGTAAACATTAAGACTTCATGAATCTGAGAACTAAAAGTGGACATAGTGATAATACCAATAAAAATCATTTGACATTAAATCATCTAATTGGACAGGAAGATTTCAAAAGAGCCTTTGTTACATAGCTTGGAAATCTCATTGAAAACACATTCTGAATAGATACAACTGCGGATTAAGCAGTTGAAACAACCTATTTTAGATAGCATCTTCACTAACTAACATCATACACCACGGGTATAAAAATAAATAATGCAACCAAGATCAAAACACATGCTATGATGAAAATCTAAGACATTAAAACAGGAAAATTCTGAAAAACCAATTATCAAATAGATTCACCATCAATAGAAAAAACTACATCAATCTGTTCTACCTAGAAAAACATGATTGAGTTAAACCATCAGTTGTGGCAGTTGAGCTTCATTTTCAACACAAAGATTAGACTATAAGCCATCAATATCTAAGTAGTTACCAGAGGCAGGGCACCAATACAGCAATTGAACTACTCTGTTTGGAAGTTGTTTTCTTAGCAAAGAGCTCACAAGAATCCTGCAGATTTATGTTCACACAAAAACAAATTACATACAGAACAATTGAACAGTCTAGGATTTCAACTGAAGTGTCTATTGCACTAGAATGTGTCATGTTTGCCTGATTGTCTTCTAAATATAAGTGTGCCTAGATCTCATTCAGAAACAATGATGGAACTTTGCTAGAATCTACAAATATAAAGGACAATATGTTATAAAGACATGAACTGGTGAATGAAAGCTGGTAAGTATGGTAAGATAAAAAAAAAAATATAGTGATACATGATATTAGTGTATTTGATTAGGAGAGGTTCACTCCATCATTCTGTGCTGTTTAAATGATGTTATTTGTGCATCATATTTTTTTACTTTAGCTTTGTGGAATTTTAACAGTTTCCATTATACATTTTATTTCAAAAAGATTTAATATTATATTCTATTTTGCAAATGCACAGCTGGGATTTTACTGCGCATTATATCATTTTTGTCATCTTGTTTCATTAACTTAACAAAACAATTAATTAAAACCCATATTGGGAAATCAATAGATGTTCATTTTTTCAGGCCAAACACTAAATTTTTATATGATATTTGAATGATAGAAATACATTTGGTGTTTCCATCAATTTCTTTACTCCCTTTATGGCATATTCCACCTTTCAATACAAAACCTGCTTGGAAGCATCAAATCAATTCTCACATTTGTTGTAATTTGCTCCTAATGTACCTTGAAAAACTACTAGAGAGGAAAGAACAAAATCAGATGTTAAGTTATTTTCGGAAACACACATGTACTTGGTACAAGTAGATAATATTGACCATATGGTAAGGTGAGTGATAGATTAAGATACTAATCCTATAACACCTACTCGTAACAGAGAATTCCTCAGGTCAATTGATAAAGAATTAGGCATAACCTGAACATATGAAGGGAAGAGGCAGGATTCAAGGATTCAGTCAACTGCTTTCTAGTTTTAGAGAATCATGTAAATCTCTTTTCTAAAGTTATGAATCTCAGGCAAATCGTTTTTAAATTATTATGACTCTGAAATACAAATATATTCTGGAAATAAAATCCAACAGTTGCTCATGTAGAAATCATTCAAGCAAATCGATTCTAAATCACTATCATGTTATAACTAAGAATTATATGAAAGTTGCTATTGTCAATCAAATAAAAAAGAATGAATGTTCAGGGTACACTAGAGGTGGTTTAAACGGTCATGTTAAACTTTCAAGTCCTGCTAAGAAACTCCATCGTTACTGGTACAATGGTGCTTATTAACATTTAAAAATGATACTGATCGATGATTACATTAACTCACAGAGGCACACGAAATGAACTCATATTGCGTCTATAAATACCAGAAATAATGTTTTAATAAGTAATTTGTCTTCATAACACTCAACATCACCCCTTCTGTTCAATTATCAAAGTAGAAGGTAATATAAGGATAATGGCATTTGGTACAATGTTTGATAAAATATCCTTTGCCCACTGCCGTTTTAAATTGATCTTTCTGATAAATCTTTCCTTCCAGAGAAACTTTGGTATATTGGCTAGCTCAATGACATAGGCTGTAATTTCTAAAATAAACCATCATAAGTTAATTTTTTGCATGGTCAGATTTCTACCTAGTTCTAAAGACATCTACAATTTTGTCAATACATGTAAATTATAGGTTTCAAATCTATCAAAAGGTGGCAGGATTTATCGGAACGTTCTATTGAAGTCACTTTTGACTGTTTGCTTGAGAAACACTTCTAACAATTTAATGAGATCCATCCATCAAATTATGGACAAAGTATGCGTGGTATATAACACAAAGGGCAACATTTGAAAAGTTCACACCATAAAATGTTACAACCAGATTGCATACAAATGGTTACAAAAGTGTAACTACTTGTTACAGACCACAGAACTGCCGACAATCCACAATCCAATATAGCATGCATATAGTGCTCATAAACCAGAATCAATGATGAAGGATGTCAATATAACATAAAGTGTCAAAATAACAAGTAGAGTTAAATTAAATTGTCAGTTCACATCCTTGTCTGACTGACATCAGACTATAGGCAATGAACCATGGTCTGTTTGCGAATTAGAATTCTGCGATTCATTGCGAATGATTTTGATTATCAAATATCAAAAAGGTTTAGTGTCATATGTAGTGGATTATGGTATGGGAAAAATCAATAGACGTAATGTCATTAATGGGTGGGTGTAAGAGGAATTTTATACGAGATCATAGATGCGGCATAACTCCCACGCAAATGGCTTATTAGGAACCAGTTAAGGGAATTGGGATATGCATTTATTACTTTGTTTTTTCCGTTATTTACAGTACTGTCGCGGAATATATGCAATAGGCGGTTACATTAAAAGTCGATTTGTGATCTTGCACTTGAATGAATCAAGAACAGGCCGTTGTGTCATATTGTATCTTTGAATTGAATGTTATGTGGATTGAAGTGAATGTATTAAAGAGACTGGGAAGTTACACCTTACATACTGATGAGGTTTTATCACTGTTAACAGATGGATGATAATTGAAGTGAGTAATTCAGAGACAGAGGTAAGCAATGTACTGCCTAATATAAGAGGCAATTTTGAGGTTATTATGGGGGAAATTTTGATAACTCACAAAACACCCATTACATAAAATACATACACAATCATGGTATATGATATCTCTAATATTAACATGTATTTGATAAATAATCGCTGGATAGATAATACATTAGATCAAATTAAAAAAATATATATTTCCATAATCTAATAAATTTCAAACAGGATTTACAAAAAATAAAAAACAGATTTGAGATGCTTTTTGATTGCTTCAATATTTCAATGACAAACTGCTGCCACATTCCATCAATCTTACTGTTGGTTACATAAAAGTGATTCATTTTTAAGGGTTATAACAAAATGGCAATTTCTTTTCCAAGCCTTATAATTATACAAAAGCAATACATTTTCAAAGGGTACATAACAGGAATCCATTTTTAAGGATTATCATTTATGATTTATTCTAAATGGGTAGGGGGGTATACAAAACCATTCATTTTCCATGGTTTATATATTAGAAATTCATTCTCGGGGGTTACACAATAAGGATAAATTTTTCAATGGTTTAATAATTCAATATAGGAATTTAATTTTAAGGGTAATACAACAGTGATCCTTTTTTCAAGCAGTGCAAAAAGCATCCATTTTCAAGGGTTATACAATTGTGATTTATTTTCCAGGGTAATACATTGCAATTCATTTTTCAATTGTTTTTAATGATAGGTACATTTTAAATATTTTCAGATAAATATACTTAATAGTTTGTGCTGGAGATTAAAGTATGCATTTTAAACAAATGTGAATGCATAAGAATCTTTAAAATACTTGGTTGTATTTTTGAAATTCTGTTCTTCATCTTAGAATTCTTTACAAAGTAAGTTTTCTCTTTGGATATATTTCAGATTTCTTTCTGGTCTACATGGTTGACAAAGAAGTCAAGATTTTTGTAAAGATTACTAAAGATGAATGGCCGCCTGAGTAACATTTCATGACACAGTCTAAACTGAATCAACAACATGGCTTAAAAGCAGCGAGCCAATCTGATTAATTTGACGATGTTGCATCAATCACAATTTGTTCAATTTCCCTGAATGGTTACTGAAATCTATGACCAGAATATTCAAGCTATAAAAGAGGTCTATAAATCCCAGAAGACTTAGCATTTAGAACTGTGTCAAGAGAAATAATGTTTCAGTGAAGCTTTTCTAATAGGAAGTGGCACGTTTGGTCAAGTGATGATGTCTCCTGGCTGAATGATAAATGTCTAGGCCAAATAGACTTCTTAACCAAAGTTTATAGAACAGGTTTACAATTCTGACTGTCTACCTCTAGCTAGGTCCATATACTGCCATGCACCTTTCCCATAACTGACAAACCCTTCTTTCAGAATCATCTCATATCTCATTTAGAACATTCTATATTTAACACTTAAGTCCTTTATTGAATTCTCTTAATGGCTACATCAAACTTGGAATAATATTATATTGTTAATACCATAATACATAGGATATACTGGTAATAAATCAGAAGAAATTAATTTTCTCATTTCAGTGTGGAAGAGTGGTACTCTACATCTATATCTTTCTGGAAGGGGGGGGGGCTATTCAGATATAAAGAAATAAATACAACATAGAACTTCAGCATGAATGTGCATAATTTGAAAGCATGAATATATAACTGGATTAATATTAACTGGATACCATATTTTTGTGCAAAGATACAAATGTAATGAAGTACTTGAATAAAAACTGAGCGTGAGTGCACAAATTCAAATTTGAATACCAGAGTAAGTACAAGATTAAACTGAAGAAATTCATGTTTGCCATGAGAACATCTTAATTGTGTTCTTTCACTTGGACCATAACCCAGCCATCGAGTTAATCACGATGAAACATAATATGTTAAAGTACAGGCTAATTCGACATCCAATACTCAACTGCGCGATTGAGAATGATAGAAAATACAGAAATGAAAACTGCAAACTGGCAAATCATATGCTGCTTCAATAATAAATTGTTCTCTGAGCATAATGCAATCTAAATTCCACATGATTCCAAATATAGATGTGCTTATAAGCTTAGCTGTCTCAATGGAAAATGAAGAACTGCTTTTGTGGCTTTCATATCAAATATCAATGTGAGATATATCTCATTCTCTATGTAAGCATATAGGCTTTATTTACCACATTATAAAGTTCCAAATATCAAACAATTATAAAGAAAACTTCTTGTTCCCAAAACAACAAAATTAAATTTCTTCTTGGATTGGAAGTTTTGTCCTGAATTTTTTGTTTGCGCAAAATGTTGCTCTTCATGTGTTTTAACTATAATAGTCTGGTAATAAAAGAAATCAGTAAATTCAGAAAAACATGGTAGCTTGCAAATAATGAATCACTTCCAGTTGAATAAGCAATTAAGTCTTGTTTTCATTCCTTTTAATAAGTATTCTAATACTGAGTAAGTGGTACTATTGAATGACAAAAAGGAAATGCATTTAGTTATAAATAATTCACATTTATTCTAATTCCAGCAGAACCTATCTACAGGAACAAATGCTTAGTTTAATTATTGGAACAGGATACCTTTTAGTGTTTGTTTTAATTATTGAAAGAGGATAGCTTTTAGTGTTAGTTTTAATTATAGGAGCAGGATAGCTTTTAGAGTTAAGTGATC